GCTGGCCCTGACCACCACTGCCACCACCGCTCCCTCCTCCCCCACCTCCGCTGCTGCCGCCTCCACCGCTCCCAGTGCCTCCGCCGCCCCCTCCACCACCTCCACCGCCTCCACCCCCACGACCACCCCCACCACCGCCTCCACCTCCACCACCTCCACCACCTCCACCACCTCCACCCCCACCGCCCCTGCCACCCCTGCCACCCCTGCCGCTGCGACGCTTCCCACTGGGAGCGGAAGCCGCTCCGACCCCCTCAGCACCAAGGTAGTCGTGAGCAGCAGCTGCGGAGGCGTAGGAGGGGGTGAGAGGGGAGGGGGAGCACCCCTCAAAGAGGGGAGAGCGAGGAGTGCCACGAGCAGCACCTACAGCGAGGATGTTCTTCTCTGCTGCGAGGAGGTGCTTCTCGAAGTCGTCGACAGTGAGAGTGGTGGGGTCTAGCGCTAGGAAGTGGTCCTTGACAGAGCTAAGAGTGTCAGGGAGGCGGGTGACGAGGAAATAGAGAGTGAAGTACATCGGGGGGGGGTTTGCGGCGCAGAACTCGGCTGAAAGGGCGGCACGAAAGCGAGAGTCAGTAGCGCGCAGGTGAGAAACTAGGTCCTCAGCAGTGGTGAACGAGGAAAGATCGGGGAACAGGTACGGTAGCATGAGTCGACCTATGGCTGCAGTGGCCGGGGAGGAGTAGCGCGCAACTACAGCGTCGTACAGTGTCTGAGCAGTTCTGTGCTGGCTGAAATGCGCCCGCTCAGTAATCGGCAGGTGGTTCCTAATAGCTAGACGTGCAGCATCATCACGAGTCTGCCACTGGGAGCGTTCTAGAGCAGGAGCATCAGCAGCAGGAGCAACGGCAGAGCCAGAGACGTAATCAAACAGGGAAACGCCATCTTTGGCATCAGTCAGAAGGAACAGTTGGAGATCGTCTAACCATACACCGAACTCGATGGGACGACCGTCAGGCTCGAATGCTAGAACGTTAGGCGTCGCCATATTGGCTTAAGGCAGGAGGTAGCAGGCAGCAGGCAGCAGGCAGAGGCAGCAGGCACCAAGTAGGAGGCAGGAGGCAGAGGCAGGAGGTAGGGGCAGCAAACAGCAGGCAGACAGGAGGCAAGCTGCAGGCAGGCGGCAGCAGGCAGCAAGCAGGCAGGCAGGCAGGCGGCAGGCAGGCAGCAGCAGGCAGCAAGCAGGTAGGCGAGAGCAGGCAGCAAGTAGGCAGGCAGGTAGGCTGCACGCAGTAAGCAGGCAGGCGGCAGCAGGCAGGCAGGCTGCAGGCAGGCGGCAGCAGGCAGGCAGGCTGCAGGCAGGCGGCAGCAGGCAGCAAGCAGGCAGGCAGGCAGGCTGCAGGCAGTAGGCAGGCAGGCGGCAGCAGGCAGGCAGAAGGCAGGCTGCAGACAGGCGGCAGGCAGGTGGCAAGCAGGCAGGCAGGCAGGCTATAGGCAGCAAGCAGCAGGCAGGCAGCAGGCAGTAAGCAGGCAGGCAGCAGCAGGCAGCAGGCACCTATTAGGAGGCAGGAGGCAGAGGCAGGAGGCAGGGGCAGCAAGCAGCAGGCAGGTAGGAGGCAAGCTGCAGGCAGGCGGCAGCAGGCAGTAAGCAGGCAGGCAGGCAGGCTGCAGGCAGTAGGCAGGCAGGCGGCAGCAGGCAGGCAGAAGGCAGGTTGCAGACAGGCGGCAGGCAGGCGGCAAGCAGGCAGGCAGGCAGACTATAGGCAGCAAGTAGTAGGCAGGCAGCAGGCAGTAAGCAGGCAGGCAGGAGGCAAGCAGGTGGCAGGCAGCAGGCAGCTGGCAGGAGCGGCCTGAGGCCTGCTTGTGGCGGCTTGCTGCACGAGGCTACAGGCTGCGCGTGGCTACGGGCAGTGCGCGCGGCCGTAGGCTACGGACGGCGACGGACTGCGCGAGCTGTGGGCTGCCTGCAGTTGCGGGCTGTGCGTGGCTACAGCGTGCGCGGCTGCATTCTACGTGCGGTTGCGGGCTGCGCTGGGCGACGGGCCGCACGTGCGCAGCTGCGGGCTGGTCGCTACGCTACGGGCTACGCTGGGCGACGGGCCGCTCTGGCGTGGCCTAATCTGGTTTCGCACGGGTGGCGTAAGGGGGGGGCGCACAGGTGGGGCCGAAACGGGCTACGCGGGCTGCTGAGACGGCGCACGTGGAAAAAAAAAAAAAAGGACTGCCCGAGGCGCGCGCGGGCAGCCGAGGCGCGCGTAGGCACTAGGTAAGATAATCGTGGTGGGCCCTAATCGTAGGTCCTAAGGACCTATGCTCTATACCATGTTAAGAAACTTACGGGAAAAGTGTGATTGACTATCGAGAGAGTTTGATACAAAGTGAAAACCCAAGGGGTTGTACCCCACAGTAAGTACCCCACTAAGCCTACCCCAAACTATAACACATATATGCATATGTTTGACACGACGTCCTCGTGGATTGTCGCAGGAAGCACAGGAACTCCTTCAACCTTTCGGGAACGCTTGTTAGCGCGGTTGTAACCCGTGTAGGTCTTCGGGAAAGGCTCTGCTCCACGGGGAACTAGTGCGAAACTCGATTTCACCAGACCGGCATCACCCGTAGAATTTGGGAGACCCCAAGAACCGTCAGCCATAGAAGCTTTGTTTAGGCGAGCTGAGTCTGGTAGAAATCTTTAGCAAGTGATAGACAGTAGTAAAAGTTTGGCCCTGTAAACAACCAAGAATCTGAAATCTGAACTCTTATTCCACTATAGGATTAAAACGCGAACATGTTTCGGTCGACTGGGACATGCCCCAAGTCAAACCTTCATCAGCGCTAGCAGAATGAAAAACAAGAGTGGGAACGAAGCCCTTAAGTAAGAACTACGCTTCGAGAAAACCAGAAATCTAGGCGCGAAATAACCGTGGCTGAAATCTGGGCAGCCAATCCAGAGCACCCTGGAAAGACCGAGGGGCTCGGGTCTTCATTCCTCGAGGCGTAACGTGGAATTCTCAATCTTCGCCAACTGTAGCTTCAGGAGCCTCGCGCGAACAAGTAACTTTTGCAAGTTACACCCAGCCTTCCAAGCAACAAATAATTTCTCCGTATAAAAACCGCGTGAAAGTAATCTAGTTTTGAGACGTCTCAAAACTAGACTTCCCCCCACCACCATATGCTGCGATGCCTTCCACCTGCACCCCTCCCACTGCCCGTCAAGTTCCTTCCCCTCATTCCATCCCCTTCCCTTCATCCATCCATTTCTTGCTCCCTCACCTAGTCTCTCTCTCCTCCCCCTCCCGCTCCCCTCCCCTGCAATCCACAGTGCCTCTACGGCCCACCAACAGACGACGCCTTCCCCCCCACCACCACCTGCTGCGATCCCTTCAACCTGCACCCCTCCCAATGCCCCCCAAGCTCTCTTCCCAACCCCCAAACCGAGCCACATCCTTCGTCACCACTCTCAACCCCACCACTAGCCTACCTCAACCGCTCTACCTCGAACACTTCTGGTCTTGACGCTCATATCAAGTACTTCAACCGCAATCTCAATGTGTCTCAGTGTATGGCTGCTGAGCCTTAGAGCGTATTCCTATCCTCGTATCAAGAAAACCTCATATCAACCTCCCACTGAAAATTCCCCTAAACCCAAAACCTCTCGCTACTTTTACCAGGCAAAAAGTACAATCTTGATATGAGGTTTTCTTGATACGAGGATAGGAATACGCTCTTATGCCTACCCTCCTTTGCCTAATCCATATACCGCCGAGCCTCCTGTTCTGCCCCGTCCCTCTGAGCCTCCTCAGCCACTCGTTTTCTTCAAGCCTTTCCAACATGTGACACATACCGTCCTTTGTTTAGTCACTGCAGGGTTCTTCTTTTGGATTCTCATCCGCTACACCTTTTATTTACGCAAGGGATTGCGTAGAGCATCAATCATGAATTGTAACAAAGGTGATGATGCTCTGATGGGTTTGTCTGGCAGGGAATTAGGTGGATACATGTATTACTGTATTCCCTCGAATAGAAGCGCTTAGCGGCTTGTACTGTTCTTGCCATTTTCTGGGGTGCAAGTGTAGCCGATAATGGAATTGCTTGTTAAATATTGTGGCTTCGAAAGAACATCAAATCAAGCCCCAGTGCAGTCCCATCTCCTGAAGGTAGTCTTATTGTGGTATTCCATGCTTGCATGATTCACATTCTTTTTTTAAGCTTGCCTATTCAACATAACACCCAGCTATTCCACACTGCGATCACCTATTGAATTGAACTTTGCTGACGGGAAGTAGGTAGTAGGTACAGTTATCTTTTGTTCACAATCTATGCGGGCATGCTCAATCAACCATCCCCACTTGCGTGGAGGAGTCATAATGCGCGATGTAACGCCTTCTGGTTGCCGCTTTAGTTGCTTATTGAACAATATATCAATTTCAGGAAGAGAAAAGGTGCCAAGATGAGGCGGTGGTCAGGACTTTGTCTATTGGTTGCCGATAGCCAAAGCTGTGCAGAGAAGGCCGAACACCAAGAATGGCTGTGCGCTAGCCTGTAAGGTGCAAGTTTGTGAAGAGAGATGGAGAGAAGAGAAATGGTTGGGTGGGAGGGAGCTCTTGATCATTGCCAACAGCTAGCCCTGTGCAGAGAAGGCAACCTCCAAGTAGGGCCGTGTGCCAACCAGCAATGTGTTTGTTGGTAAGTGAAACAAGACAGAGGGAAGGGAATACTTGGGAGAAATGGGGATGATGTGATGATGATGTTCATGAGGATGTGGGAAAAGAAAAAAAGAAAAAAAAAAGAGGAGAAATTCAGGATTTGATCACCAAACGACCAGAGTCAGCAGCATCACAGACAAGGCCAAGAACCAGCACTAATGTATCAGGTCAAAAGAGATAAGGAGGGATTTGCTACTGAAGGAGACACTGCTGTACACGTGTCAGTCCCTATGTCCTTTGGGTAATTAAAAAAGGGGGCGAACCTAATACTTGACTTACGAGTGAATCGACTTTTGTGTCAACTCAAAAGTCAATTGTGTCCTTGTGTGGGTTTGAGGATCACCAAGGGGGGCTTACCTGGTACTTGACGTCGTTCTTCATGGGATCAGGCAGGAATAGGGTGAACTGCAGATGCAACATCGCAACCATACAACAACACAGCCATACAAGACACGCAACATGACAAGCATCATGGGAGAGAGTTAACATAGATGAGGTAGGCACTGACTAAAATAATGACCTGAGATACAGAGTGGGCTGAAAGGCAGAAGGAGGGTGATTCGCGGATGCAACATCGAAACGAATCACCGTGCAAAATCACAACAACGCAACGAAGCAAACATGCTTCAAGAGAGAAGGCATGTAAGAGGGGTAAGGCAATTGTTTGGAGCCACCTCAATAGAGGGTGAACCACCGATGCAACATCACAGCTCAGCATCTCTTTTGGGACAAATTTTGAGGCAGAGCACACAAAACATCATACAGAGAGTAATACAGCAAGACAACTGGCAAGGAGCCTCAACTCTAAACTAAACTTGGAAACTAGAGAGACATTCAGGTACATAAAAAATAGTCCCAAAACTCAATCGAGGGACAGGAGAACTGACCTGGAAGAAGATTTGGGGAGCAATGAGGCCGAGCAGCACAAGCCCATAGACGGTCTTGCCGGTTGCGAGGAGATAGCCTGCGCGGGAGATGCAACAGTCATTGAGAGGTAAGACACGGAACAGGTGAAGGGGCGAGTCAAAGAAGGCAAGCGGCACGAGGCCGTAGACGGTATAGCCAGCGGCGAGGAGATAGCCTGCACGGGAGATGGAGGAAGGAAGAGGGGACAAGAGAGATGATAGAGGAAACAGGAGAAGGGTTGAGTCAAGGAGCGAGGGAGGGAAAGATCAGAGGCAGCAGGGAGAGATCAGAGGAAGCAGGGAGAGGCATGCAACAGGATTGCAAGTACCCCCTTTTTCCCTTCAACTGATTCAGCTAGAGGGCTCGTCACAGGCATTTCAGCATCCTCGATATATACCTTTCACCTTTGCCACCAGCTGAGTAGCCTAGCTATGTAGCATTCAGGATGCGATGCACCGAAACAATATCTTACAAAACATGCTCTCTCTATGCCCTACGTCCGCCCCTCACCTGCAACAGATAGCTGAGTGACATCAATGCTGGCCACGCAGATCCACTTGGCGGTTTCCACTCCGAACGCCACTGGGAGGGACTGCAGCAAACAACGGTTGGGGTTGGGGGGAAGAGGTGGGGGGGGGTGAGAGGGAGAGGGGGGGAGGTGGAGGGGGTTTGGGGAATGATGCTGGCCAGGCAGATCCGGTTGACGGTATCCACGGCGAACGCCACTGGGAGGGAGGGACTGGAGAATGGAATGATGGGGATGAGCATGAGAGACGGGGGATGGGTAAAATTGGGTAGTGCGGGGGTGGGGTGGGGGGGGGGGGGGGGGGGGAGAGGGGAGGGCAAAGAATGATGCACTCCGCCAAGTGGCTACATAGATCCAGTTGGCGGTGAGGTGACCTGCAAGATTGGTTGGAGGGGATGCAGGCCCGCACCTGTGCCACGCTCCTACTTCTCCCTCTACGCACCACGCACCATGTACCATGCACCATTCACCACCTACCCCAGCACCCACCTGCCCCAGCACCCACCTGCAGCCCCATCTTGCGGTCGCCCTCAATGCTCTTGAAGTCGTTCACAATAGCGATGCCCAGCTGCCAGGGGAACAGTGGGGCGAGTGGGGAGGGGAAGGGGAAGAGGGAAGGGAGGGAAAGAGGGAGATTTGGGAAGGTGGCCTCTGAGACGTCTCAAAAGGTGTTCACAAAAGCAGCCCAGCTGCCAGAGTAAACGGTGGGCGAGTGGGGACGGAGAGAGTGAGCACCACGGAATTGAAGGTCAAAAGTGCACTTGGTGCTATAACTGACGAGAATATGACTCGGTTCTTGCCAAATCACCACCCCATTGTTGCGGTGCGTGGTGCAGTGAGAGGTTTAGCACCCCTGGCACATCATAAAACCAAGGCTTGAAACTTGACAGCTTACCCCGGCAATGCTGTCGAGGAGAGTGAGCACCACTACGTCAAAGGTCAGCGTGCCAAAGAGAGCTCGACCCGCCCACCTTTTGAGTTGACTCAAAAGACGCCTCGATTCTCAACAGCTTACCCCAGCTTACCCCAGCGATACTGTAGAGGAGAGTGAGCACCACCACGTCAAAGGTCAGCGTGCCAAAGAGAGCTTGACCCGCCCACCTGCCAGGTTTCCACGCACAGAGAGGAAGTGTGACAGAGATGAAGTGTGAACAATAGGCACAGCAACTCAGAAGCAATGTGGCACAGAGGCAGTGTGGCGCAGAGGCAGTGTGGCACAGAAACTATACAATCCTGCCAACATACTCGCTGTTTTGTGCACCTCCTTTCTTGAAAAGCAAACACCTGCGGGGGCGACTTACTAGGGAAGCGAGATGTAGCTGGAGCACAGGGAGTTGTTGTCAATCCCACCGCTCTGCTTGAGCTGTTAGTGAGGGCATTCTAAAAATCCTTGCAACAGAACAGAGGAGACTTACCAGGGAAGCGAAATGTAGCTGGAGCCCAGGGCGTAGTTGCCGATCCAACCGCTCTGCTTGAGCTGCAGAGGGTGCGAGGGGAGGGAACGTGGACAGTGGCAAGAGGAAACGCTAAATAGGTGCTATGCAATGCAATGCTCTTGAGATTGCATAGATTCTCCAGTCCTCATTCACAACCCCTTTTCTGCCTTTCCGCTCCAGCGGAGTGGAGTAGCTGAACTCATTGTAAACAGCAAAGACCAACAAAGTTTGGAGAGCGAAAACCAGGAGAAAGGGCACAAGGAAAGAGGCCCAACTGCCTTCACCGGAGCGAACGGAGAGAAGAGAAGAGAAGAGAAGAGAAGGGAAGGGGCTCACCTTGAGAGGAGGCGCGGAGTAGATGTATGAAACGAGCGAGCCTCCAGCGGAGAGAGCAAGCAGAATGGGGAAGCCATGACCCGCCTGATGGATTTAGATGGACAACGAGCAGGGGGTGACGAGGAAGGGAAGGGGTGGAGAGGAGGGATGGGCGAATGGATCAGAAGTCACAAAAGGCGGAGGAGGCGAGCCGGATGTGGAAGTCATGACCCGCCTGATAAATGTGGATGTGATGTGACAATGGGAGGGGGGGTGACAATAAGGAGCAAGAGGGGAGAGAGGGAGCATAGCAGAGTGGATCAGGAGTTATTAAAGGCGGAGAGGGCTAGAAGGATGGGAAATACATGGCCTGCCTTAAATTAGATGAAAGAATGGGACGGCAACGGAGGAGACACAAACACATAATTTTTGCGCATGAGTTGCTTAGACAGTAAAAATGAGGAATGCTGAGTACGTTCGTACAGAGTTCAAGAGGAGACAGTGGTGCCTGGATACAGTCTGCTACTTAGCGGTGCTTGAAATGATTCTCGAACAAAAAGAATGCATGCAGACTCACTCAGACCCGTTTTGTGACTAAAGCATGCACTAAAGCTAGAAGCACCACTCCATAAGAGACTCACCCAGACGTCAAGGCCATACGCCACTCCCATGGCACCCAGCAGCAGGATCCAGATTTGAGCAATGACCTGCGTTCAGCACAATGGTGGGATGATTTTTTTGCTAAGGGGAACGATGGTAGACAGGCTGGTAGGCGCAGTAAAGAACGAGCTTGCTACAGCCGAAGGATAATGTTGCTCACTAACGATAGTTTTGGACGTCTCACAGGACGAGTCTGCTACAGCCGTGATGCTGGGGGTAGGTTAGCACTGCCCAGCCCACTGGCCACAGTTTTGAGACGTCTCATAGGACGAGTCTGCTACAGCCGTGATACTCGGAGCGCGCCCAGTGGCCGCGTGGTCGTTGCTTGCCTACACGCTAAATGTTGCTTTCTTCTCGCTAGCAGCTCTTACCTCGAAATTTAGAGCACAAAGTGTGCACACATGGACAACAGTGTGTCGGCTCAAAAGCTACCCTGTGGACGTGCTAACATTTTCTCTTTGGGTACGATTTGTGAGACTTTCATAACATGTAACACTTCTTTCTTGCACCCCTGCAGTATCCCAGGCACGCGACTCACATCGCTCTCGGAGATAGCACCCGATGGGATGGGCCGGTTGGGCTCGTTGATGGCGTCAATCTCGCGATCGTACCAGTCGTTCATCGTCTGAAGAGTGGAAGCGGGAAGCGGGAGGGAGGGAACCGGGGATGGGGGAGAGGACGCGTTTATCATGTCGCACAAGGGATGGGCCTGTTGGGCTCGTTGATAGCGTCAATCTCGCGATCGTACCAGTCGTTCATGGTCTGAAGACAGCGAGTGTGGGGGACAGGATAACGGGAGGTGGAGGGGACAACAGGAGGGAGAGGTAGAAACGGGAGAAAGGAATCGGGAATACGAGAGGCAAACAATTGAGTCCCTTGGGCTCGTTGATGGCGTCGATCTCCTTGGTGCCAGGCATGGACAGCTGATTCATACGGACGCAGACAGACATGTCGTATACGTAGCTTGCAAGGAGGAATAGGAAAAATGTGGTCTGCCGAACGAAGCGGAAGAATCATGAACGGACCTGAGTGTAGCCGGTGAGGAGCGGTCCAGAGAGGAACATGCACACGACGGCCATAGACACATCCTTGAGGGTCCACTCGAAGTTTCCTGAAAAGACAGGTAAGGGATGTAAGGTCAAACCGCGCGAGATAGGCCCATTTTGCCTATCAATAAAACCTTAAGCATAAGTACGCAATTGATCCGTGAATCTTTGTTCCCGAGCAGTTCATGAAGGTCGCCCAACGGGATGATGAGGGTAAGAACGGTGTGCGTTGGGGAGAAAACCGCATCGGCTTTGGCATAGTGTCCCTTGTTCATTATCGAGCTCACTCACCAGAGGCAGCAGCACCGCACAGCACACCCCAGATGAGCGGCACCCATGTGACCGGCTTCGTCAGCTGGAGGCGAATCTTCCAGATGTCCTGAAATCGACAAGCGAAAGCAGATAAAGGATCTGGTTGAGGCCTCAAGAGAAGCGCTATAGTCGGTGCGGAGGGATCTGTAGGAAAAACACGCCCTCGAAACAAGCCAGTGATTACGAAAAAATCAGCGTCGTGTTGATTTAGAGGTAAATTTAGGCGGAAATTCTTACGTCTTCCTTGTTGCCGCCACGGATTCCCAGCAGCTGACGGACGGCAGAGTCCCCTTCTTGGGACGGAGCAACTTCAGGCACCTTGGTATCTGGAAGGTGTGGGCAAACAATGCCAGATAATTCATTTCAGAACAGACGTCATCAGCAGCAATTCGTTTTCAAATGAAGTTTGGTAGCGTAGGGCGCTGACCCCCATTTACTAAATCGAATTAAAAGAGTCACACAATGGCATACGATGTGGTGATTCCTTAAGACTAGAATCCGCATAAATTATTGCTGTGAAAATGCGTGCAGGCAGCAGCTTGATACCTGACTTCTTGTCAGTTTCTGACGAAGCGACAACGATCGTACGGCCTGCGTTCACAACGGTCCTCTTCTGCGCCTCAGTGGCCAATCTCCTGCCGCCAAGTGGCAATCTCAGACTCGAAGAGCTAAGACTTGCGCGAACCGCGCTCTTTGCGGACGCATTGCAGGACGCAGCGCGTGACACTAGGCAATGCGACTCGAGAGAAGTCTGGAGGAGGCTAGCGGAAGCCATCGCAAAACTTTGTGAACGAAGGCAAGGAAGAATCGATGGATGGGGGTGTTCCTTGTAGGGTCGTCAAATGGGTTTGCTTCGTAGGGAACTCTTAGCGATGCCTGACCTGTTAGTCTTCTGAAAGAGTTGAAGTTCTTGAAGAATCTCCGTCTTCGGAGGATTCTGGTCAATACTGCTGCTTCAGCACTTGGCGTGTGCTTGCTAGAGTGAAATCCCCCCTCTTCTGACTGGGAGGCTTGGCGGCAAAAGCAAGGCCGCAAAATTGACATGCTGACGGGAAGGTCGCTTTGGTCGCTGTAACGAGGGATTGCGTTTGGGTGAGGTTCTAGAAATTGGAAGACTCGAGGGAGCTATGGGTGTGAATTTGTTACACGTGGCGCGCTCCCGTAACATCAAATCCACCGTGTTCATCCTGGCGAATGTCCATACTATGAGAAGCTTCGGTAATTCTGCAAAATTTCCAAATATGAAGCGATATATGATGGTGCCTAAAACATATATAGCAAGATATGTAACAGCTGCTTGGTCGTTCACGTGTTCGTTTGGGACGCTGCTGGTGACGTAACGACCTTTGTCGAAGAGGGCTTACCTTCGCCAGATCTTCGCCACCTCCCTTCTCAGCCGCCATTTTCTTGGTCGGCGCATCTCACACCACCATTCTCCTACCCACCAGGGTCACATCATCGCTGCAAAATCGCTAGCTAGTTTCGCCTCACCGCGTCCGTTGCGTGCGAAACGAAGTTACCCTTTCGCTGCGTAAAGCCTCGAAACTCCCTTGCCTGCTCCAGCACCACCTTTCTCAAATTCATCCCCGCTGTCTTGCAACTGCCTCCCCTCTCGCTGCTCTGCACACACAACACAACCGACATTAGAAGTTAGGAGACGCCGACGACCGTAATGACGACCTCAGATGCGCTTCTAATCCCAGCTTGAAAATACCCAGCCATCCTTCGTTTCAACCCAAATCTTGCTTGTGAACACTTCCAGGCTCCAGCGTCTTTTTCTATAACAGATTCCCGCAATCTACACTCATCAGTCTGTTTACCGCTGCGAATTCTTCCTCACGTGCCGCGATGGCTAGTTCACGAAGCTTACTTGTCCTCGGGATTATCTGCGTCGCTCTCTGCGTGGTTGGCGCGAGCACACAAGCGAAGCCGAAGCCTACTAAGGCGCAGTTGAAGGCGGAGCTGAATAAAATGGCGACCACCATCACGAAACGTTACCCGCAGTATGGGAAATACGCCAAGGACATAAACAAGTACATCGGCCTTGCACGTAAGCGCTTCATTATTCGCATATCACCAGCTGGATGGAATAACACTCGCGAAATCACGATCTTGCTGCTGCTTCTCTCCTGTTGACAACGAAATTCCCTATCTTGATCAGGATTTACGTTAGAGTTCTCAGGATCCTGTTGAGACAAAGGTTCCCAAGCAATTCTCCTCTATTCTGCTCCTTCACACGTTCCTTCCTCACCTCTCCTCCCCCCACCTTTCCCCATTCCTCCCTCCTTTACCCTTCTTCCCTATCCGTCTCCCCTTGTCCAGTAAACTCCAAATACGACTTCTCAGCCCTCGCGGACGCCACCATCCTCCTCCCCAACAACGTCGAAGCTGAAGCCCTCGCTAAGAAGCTCCCCGCTAAGAAAAGCAACATCCCCATCGTCTACAACATCACCGCGTACCACATCATCGCCAAAAAACTTACCGTTCCGAACATGCGACCCTACAAGAAGGGACAGCCGCTTCGTACTCAATTGAAGCAGCCTCTTTACAAGAGCTCGCCTCAAAACGCGAACGCCGTGTCGTTCGCCAGGGGTCCGCAAGCACCCGCTTCTGCGTGGACGACGATCAAGATCCCGAGGATTTACGCGGGGCCGTACTTTATTGCTCATGGCGTGGATAAGATTTTGATTCCCGCGGGCACGAGATTGCCCAAGTAGGAAACTACAGTAAATTTGAGTTACTTCAAAAAAACGTTATACGCTAGCTTTTGAAAGTGTAGTCAGCCTGCATCTGAAACTGTCTGTCAAACCTTTAGACTTACCTGACAACCTGATCAGAAGCAGCAGGTAGAAACTGTCTGTCAAACATTTAGACTGGCTGTCCAACCTGGGATGGGATGCGTGGTGTACATAGCCTGGCAACCATTCCATGTGTGAAGGCCTTTGCCTATATTAAGAAACGTTTATCTCTCTGGCTCGTGGTGCAAAGCTAATACAGGTGAGGGAGAATCAGGGGATGTACATAAAATGTACAGCGTGAAGCCTTTGCCTCTATAATCCGGATTCATGTGAAGGTGTGAACCAATCACATTTACCCACTCTTACAAATTGGTGTATTTTCTCGAAGATTTGAAACCACATCTGCTCAGTTGTGTTGAACGCTGGTGACTGCACACAACACGTGACTTGCGCGACTCTTCGTACCTCAGTTTGGGGAACAGAAAAACATAGGATTTTAAGCACATCAAGCAGGTCAAGCAAAGCTAGGCTAGCGCGAACCGAGCTCATTGCGACCGCATTGCAGGACGCGGCGCGTGACACTAGGCAATGCGACTCGAGAAAAGTCTGGAGGAGGTTAGCGGACGCCATCGCAAAACTATGTGTACCTGATGCGATACTATTGTGTGATGGGGTTCTTTCTGTATGATCGTCAATGAAGGGCCTGATTCTTAGGTAGCTGTAAGCGATGCCTGCTTAGATACCTCCAGCTAATCTCCTTCTGCAGCTCAGAATGAAGGTTCTTGAAGGATCTCCGCCGTTGAAGGAGCGAGCCTGAAAGCACTCTGCTGCTTCTTCAACTCAAGCCGCTTTCCTCGGTTGGCTCGGATTTCCTCCCCACAGCGAAATTCCCAGACAAGCGAATTCGTGCTGAGTTCGAGAGGGAGGCTTGGCGGCTATGGTCAATCTGACACTCAAGAGAGAATTGCTCCAGTGCCTTGTTTGGTGATTCGCTCTTGCCCACGTGTCCCCGAATTGCTCGAGTGGCCATCCAATTCCGTGATAATTGCTTGAGTGGCCATGCCAGGGCATTTTCGAGGTGTTTTTTTTCCCTGGCACATAACCCTACAAGGGTTCGTACCCCCGAAATTCCTCGTTCGCACAACAGTAGATGCGCGGTCATTTTCGGCCCAATGCGCGACCAATGAGCGCGCGGGCAATTACATCAGCGATCATAAACTGCAACGCCAGAGCATAAATGCACGAACATATTATTGACCGCGCATGATTGGTCGATAATATGCTTCTTGCCCTTTTTGGCAATGCGCATCCAATCACGCACGGTCATATAATTCACGACCATATATTTAGGCGATAAAGGGTCGCCCAACAACCAATATGAGCGCGCATATACTACCATTAGTTCTATTATATTTTTGGTCCATATAAAACCATATATATCAAATGCCATAAATATATTCTCTGCTATTAATTTAATCCCATCATAACCGTGGTGTCAGCATATTATGCTGGGCTTAAATTAATATTATGCTGCCGAACATATTATTTCTGCAACCATATTACCGGCAATACAATATTATGGACCACGGTATGATGGGCTTAATATTATTATAGGCCACGATACAATATTATTTCTAGTACGACGGGCTTAAATTAATAGCAGAGAATATATTTATGGCATTTAATATGCATGGTTTTATATGGACTGGACATATGATAGAACTAACGGTAGTATATGCGCGCTCATATTGGTTGTTGGGCGAAGCTTTATCGCCTAAATATGTGGTCGTGAATTATATGACCGTGCGTGATTGGACGCGCATTGCCAAAAAGGGCAAGAAGCATATTATCGACCAATCGTGCGCGGTCAATAATATGTTTGTGCATTTATGCTCTGGCGTTGCAGTTTATGATCGCTGATGTAATTGCCCGCGCGCTCATTGGTCGCGCATTGGGCCGAAAATGACCGCGCATCTACTGTTGTGCGAACGAGGAATTTCGTGGGTACGAACCCTTGTAGGGTTATGTGCCAGGAAAACAACACATCGAAAATGCCCTGGCATGGCCACTCGAGCAATTATCACTGAATTGGATGGCCACTCGAGCAATTCGGGGACACGTGGGCAAGAGCGAATCACCAAACAAGGCACTGGAGCAATTCTCTCGACACTCAAGTCAATCTGATCGCGAACGTCGCTGTAACGAGGGATTGCGTTTGGGTGAGGGTGTGAATTTGGTCACACGTGGCATGCTCGCATTTCATCTCGGTTAATGTCCATATTATAAGAAGCTTCGGTAGTATGGATAATAAATCAAGAAACGCATGCAAGTATGGCGAACGGAACCTCAAAAATATCGATACGGTAGCATATACGGGCAAAACCACTTGGTCACTCGCTATTTCATTTGATACGCTGCTGGTGACGACCGTTACAGAAAAGTAATACTTCGCCACCTCTTCCGTTCGCGGCCGCCATTTTGTCGGTCAGAGCGACTCGGACCACCGCTCCCCTAACCAGCCACTAGCCCAGCAGCCGCCGTCGCTGCAAAATCGCCAGCTGATTTCGCCACACCGCGTCCAATGCCTGCGATACCGAAACTACCGTTTCGCCAAGTCAACCCTGGAATATGCCGTGCCTGCTGCACCACCGCCTTTCTTGAAACATCACTGCTGCCTTGGAACTACCTTCCCTCCGCACATTCACTACGTAAGAAACTACAAATAGAGTATGCCGAGAAACATTAGGAATACCCACGGACTCACAGTTACCAACTCGAGTACTCACCACAAGTATCAAGCTCTCATTTCCTTCAACCCTAATTTCGCTCATCCATAGAGGTTTCCAGAATCCAGCGTCGTTCACTCGTATATTCGATCGTAGTCTGCTTACTTCAGCGATCCGTTCCTTCTCACTGAGCGATGGCTAATCTTCGAGCCATTTTTGTTATCGGGATCATCTGCGTCGCCCTCTGCGTGGCTGGCGCGAACGCACAAGCGAAGCCCAAGGCCAAGCCCACCAAGGCTCAGCTCAAAGCGGAGCTAAACAAAATGGCGACCACCATCACGAAACGTTATCCGCAGTATGCGAAATACGCCAAGGACATCAACAAGTACATCGGCCTCGCGCTCAACTCCAAATACGATTTTTCAGCCCTCGCGGACGCCACCATCCTCCTCCCCAGCAACACAGAAGCCGAAGCCCTCGCTAAGAAGCTCCCCGTTACGAAAGCCAACATCCCCACCATCTACAACATCACGGCGTACCACATCATCGCCAAAAAATACACCGTTCCGAATTTCAAGGCCTTCAAGCAAGCGCAGCCGCTCCGTACTCAGTTAAAGCAGGCTCTGTACAAGATCTCGGCCAAAGGTGCGAACGTCGTGTCGTTCGCCAGGGGTCCAAAAGCGCCTGCTGCAACGTGGACGACAATCAAGATCATGAGGATTTACTCCGGGCCGTACTTCATTGCTCACGGCGTCGATAAAGTTATAATTCCCATCGGCACGAGGATGCCCAAGTAAAAAGCTACAGTAAAACTGGAGTCATGCTATAAAATAACGTTATGTGCTAGCTTAGAACTGTAGTTGACCTGCATTAGAAACTGTCCGTCCAGCATCTGGACTGGCCTCACTTTGCGGATTCACCTGCATTCTAAGGCGTCGGTAGTTGCCTGCCTAGCTGTCTGTCAACCTGGGATGGGATACATAGCCTTGCAACCAGGCCCTACGATATCAGGAATTTTTCCCTGAAATTCCTGATTTTCAGGGATTTTTTTGTACCTACACTGATTTTTCAGTGTTGAGAATTTTGTGACACTGATCTTTCAGCCTTTATTTCATAGTTGACACTGATTTTTCAGTCTTTTATCGAAGTGTACACTGAATGCACATTCCGAATCCTTCCTGTCAACCAACATTTTCTGTTTTTTCACGTACGAGAATGTAAGAGATTGACGTTTTAGAGGATCAACTGTCTCAGTGGTTAGTGATTTTCTACCGACGGGTAAGGGCCAGTTTCAAATCCCTCCTCTGTCATGTTTCATTTGCTTGAAAATTCAGGCTTTGTTTTTTAGGAACCCTGAAAATTAAGGGTTTTTTTTTTAGGAACACTGAAAATCAGGGTTTTGTTCACAGGGACCCTGATGCATCAACGTCCCTTAAAGTGAATCTGAGGGCCTGCTTGCAACCATTCCATGTCTAAAGGCCTTTATTTATTATATCCAAAAGCTTTTTACCTCAACGGGTGATGGAGAATCAGGGGGGTTGAATTCACTACATTTTAGCTGCCTTTGAGGGCCAAACCCAGGCTATGCCATGTAACCCATTTGCCTATGCTTGTGTAAAATCTAACTGATCAGTATAAGATCTCAGTTCGAAACCATGTTTTTAGCTGTGTCCAACTCAGGGGTGACTGCAACGCAACAAGAGACTTGCAGAACTCGTGGAAGTGGTCTGGGGAACAAAACATAAGAATACAAGTGTACAACATGCCACTACGATGCAATGCATCAGCTGTTGTAATCTGGGCGCCGCCTGGTACGAGATGTCATTCGAGGGATTTGAGCATGCGAAAGAGCGCTGCTGCTTCTCTGACTCGCGAATACTCGATACAGAATGCCTGCATCTCAATGAAAAGCGCCTCCACTGCCACACGGAAAAAGGGGGTAACTAAATGACATTCATGTAGATGGCATGGCATAGGTAAAAGAAGAGAAAAGAAAACCGTTACCGAATGCGCAACACAAGAGTAGCTCAAAGCTAATAGCTGAGTAAGGAAAGGCACATGCTGTGGCTTGAACAACATCAAGTGTGTCGGCATAAGGAAACATTTCTCTGAGGGTGTATGTACCATTGATGATGTTATCGCGAATGAGACTCAGTAAGAAGATGCAAACGATCCGCACAAGGCGATTCTGCATGCTCTTATCCTGCAAATGCAGCGGCGATGTGTTGGGTTGGGTTGAGACACAACAGGGACACCTTAACACTCGCTCAACTCACACAGGGCAGCAGAGTGAAATGGGCCACATGCATACCCATGGGTCACATGCATTACCATGGGTCACATGCATACCCATGGGTCACATGCATACCCATGGGTCACATGCATACCCATAGGTCACGTGCACTGCCATGGGACACGTGCACTGGCGGTTTCTCATCTCATCTCAGTTACTAAACCATCAAAACTTACAGAGTAAGCTCGTAGTAAACACAACAAACCCACCTTGGTTTCCTCGCAGCACCGCATGCAGTGGCTGGCATATGAGTGGACTCAGGCTGGCATATGAAATTAGGCAACTGCTCTTCCAATCTCAGCACTCACTCATTCTAACGACTGGGTGGCAGCCTCTACTGAACAGCCACTCAATCGCATCAAATTCAAAGCCACCCACCTTGGTCTCCTCACAGCACCGCATGCAGTGGCTGGCATACGAGTGGATGAAATCGGGCGGCAAGTCAACGGCCTTTGCCACCCGGCTGACCACCTCTAGTGAGTGGAGCGTGAGGGGCAGCTGAGACAGCACCTCCAGGTACCTGGGGTGAGAAAGGGAAGAGAGGAGGGAATTTCCGATGCAAGTAAAATCAAGATAATGAGGGCGGAGTGGAAAGTCAATGGCCTTGGCCACTCGGGTGAGTGCAGGGTGAGGAGCAGCTGAGACAGCATCTCCAGGTACCAGAGAGGGCAGTGGGAAGTGGTTGGCCAAATCAGACAGTGGGGAGAAGGAATAGCAAGTCAACAGCCTTGGCAACACGGCTGACCACCTCGAGTGGGTGCAAAATAAAAAAAGCTGAGACAGCACCTCCAGGTACCTGCGGGGAGTGGCAGTATGGGGATTGTAGGTGTATTGTGGAGGAATTCACAAAGCACACCAATAAAATAAAGGGTGAGGGACAGCTGAGAGAGCACACGCAGAAAAAATTCTTGCACCACAACCTTGTGCTGTTGAGAGAGCACAGGATGCAGCAGCACAACAGCATTGAGTGAACCATCCACAGCCTTTGGCATTCCATGCTTTTCCATTTGAGACCCCTCTCCCCTGCTTGCTCAAAAGCTGGTTGATTTGCCAGCAGCAGAGCGAGCACACATGCACATGCAGCAGCAGAGCGAGAACACACGCACACGCGGCAACAGCACAAGAGCATCGAACCATCTCGACTTGGGCATTCCACAATTTCCGCAACATCTACATGAAACCCCTCTTTCCTGCGTACTCAAAAGCGGGCTGCGATGCCAGCAGTAGAGTGAGCGCACATGCAGCGATGTCTGGATTGTGCTCCACTAGAGGCTGGGGGCAGATATACGCAGGGAGGGGTAAACGGGGGAGGAGGAAAAGGGAGGGAGTGAGAGTGAGCGCACATGCATCGAGGTCTGGGTTGTGTTCCACTAGAGACTGGGGGGTGATAGTGGGAGGGGAGAGTGAAAGCGAGGAGAACAAAGGGAGGAAGACAGAGGGAGTGGAAGGGAGAGCACATGGGTTCGAGGTCTGGATTGTGACTGTCTGTTAGCTCCAGCGAGCTGCAGATTGGGAGGAGGTTTGGCGAGTGGAAAAAATAGTAGTTCTAAAAGCTAGCTAATTCACCCAGGGTTTCGAGATGTCAGACAGCAAGCGAGGAGAACTAAGGGAGGAAATGGGAGGAAGTGAGAGGGAGAGCACATGCAGCGATGTCTGGATTGTGTTAAACTAGAGGCTGGGGGAAGAGTGATGGCGGGGAGAGGGGAACGCAGGAGTGGGATAGAGGAAGAAAAAAGATATGGGAAAGAGGGAGAGGGATAGATGAAGCACGACGAGGGAGTGCGAGGGAGGATGAGGGAGCACACATACAGCGATGTCTGGATTGTGTTTCAAAAGAAGCGGGAGAGAGGAGAGGGGAGGGAGATGGGCGAACATGGATAAGCGGAGCGAAGAGGGACTGCAGGGCAAAGGCTGAGTCAAGCCCTGAACGATTTAGGCGCATTAGAAGGGAGGCACGTACTGGAAGGGTCAAGGGGTGCAGGCCACATGCTGTGATGAGAGCCGGATTGGCGGAGAGAAGAGAGAGGAGCTCCTGTTGGAGGGGTGGAAGGAAATGAACGGTGGGGGGAGAGGGCTGCATGATTTTTTTTTTTTTAGTCGACTCAAAAGTCACCTCGTTACAATGGCACACGACACGACAAACAGAGAGGAGCTCCTGTTGGAGTGTTGGGGGTGGAAAGAAAAGAACGGCGGGGAAAGGCGGGAGGGCCGGGCCGAACGAAGTTCAAGGGTTTCTGCCGACTCTTGGAAGGGGTCTATTTTCGAGTCGACTCAGAAGAGTAAACTGATTGTGCAGACCCATTTGAAGGATCAGCAGGCGCACCGATCGAAAAATAGACCCCTTCGGGTTTGAGGGAAGTGCGTCCATAGAGAGTGGGTCAAAGGGGAGGGAGTCAGGT